CCATCCCAATTAGAAGAGAATGGGTTACCTCCGTAATATGATGATGTTTTCTTTCAGCTACACCGTTTTGTTGTGGTGTATTGACACAGGAGGTTCGATGGACAATCCCGTTATTAGCAAAAAAGGAGGCAAGACCACCATAAATAAACTCTACTCCATTATCAGATTGAAGGATTTTTAGGGGACAACCAAACTAAGTACATATCACCTTATAAAAGGTTTTAAAAATGGAATGAACTTCATCTTTGGTGTTCATAAGATAAAGCCAAGTATAATGACTAAAGTAATCAACAAACACAACAAAGTAACGAAGTGGTAGATTCAGGACCCCACACATCAGAATGAACAAGCTGTAAAGGAGCTGTACTTTCATTAATACTAGTAGGATATGAAACATAACATTGTTTGGCAAGAACACATGTTTCACAATTTAACTCAAAAGATTCAATAGAAGAAAACTGAGGAAGCACATGCTTCAAAACAGGAATAGGTCAATGATCGATTCTATTATACCTTCGCATTAACAGATCTTTATTGACATTACTATTCCTAACACTAGATTGATTTGCAACATAATAAGAAGTTGGCTTTGCGTTCAACAAATTCAAGCCATTGTCCTCACGCCCACTCCCAATTGTCTTCCCTATGTCTAAGTCCCGAAACACACAGTGAGATGGAGAAAATGTTACACTACAATTCAAGCCTTTTGTAATGTGACCGACATAAGTAAGGTTATTGGTAAACTTTGGGACACAAAGAACTTCATTCTACTCTCCTCAGCCTGGATATACGAAAACACATCTATAATAGAAGTAGGGGCCGGATACCTTCCTAACACTTGTACCATGGCATGCTTGTATTTCGGATGCAGACCACTCAAAAACTCATAGATACGATTCCTTTCTACCATAACTTGAAATGCTTTAACATCAGTTGCACACACAAGTATGTAATCTTGGTAGTGATCTAACTCTTTCCATTTACCACGCAGATTGTGGTAATATGTAGCAAGAGTTTGGTCTTCCCGCTTAAATCTTGAAATCTCTTTTTGGAGCTCATATAGTTTTGCAAAATTACCAACCGAGAAATATGTCTCTTCCACAGCCTTCCATAGCTCTTTACAAAGAGAGACCCCTTGCTGAACTGTGGCTGCATTGATTGCTACAACCACATTATAACTAGTGCATTATTTGCACTCCACTCGTTGAATTCAGGATCACTCTTGGACGGATACATGATAGTCCCTTCGATATGGTCAATCATCCTACAACCAATGATATGCATACGAATAGATGGAGCCCACTCCATATAGTTCGTCTCATCCATCCTAACAGTCGTAATACAAAGACCTGGATGATGATCACTACTACCTCCCAACATTGGAGTCACATCACATTAGGAGAAGACCCAATTTCTTTTGAAGTCACCTTTGAGCTAGACATTTTATCAAATAGTTTTTGGGGTATACACTCCTCAGAAACAAATCAGCAACAAAATATGTAGAGAACCACCTCTCTAACACACAATATTGCAACTAGAAAGATTACTGTCTTCTAAGATGCCTAAAAAAGTGACCACACAGTCACCACACAAACGCTAGAAAGCAACAAAGTAGACCATACCAGAATCGCAAACGACGAAGAAAAAGCTGCTCTTGCAAAACCATGCAAACACGGAAAAAACACTGATCGAAATTGCAAGTGATCAAAAACGGGTCCCAAAAAAAAATAAATTATTTGGGGCCTCGCCCCGAACCTCGAGCAGGGGCAAGTTGCCCTGCAACCCCCAGCCAACTCAGCACGGAGTTGGATCTGCGGTACGTGTAGACGTCATTAACACTACTTCCTTGCAAACAAATCTCATCTTGGAATCTCTTTAAAAATCTTCACCCCCACTAGGGTTTACGCGAACTTTCCCCAGAACTTTACAAACCATGCTCTGATACTATGTTAACTTTAAGAGAGAACCTAAATAAAAGTAAAGTAGAAGAAGAGAAAAGAGGAGGAGAGAAAAAGAAAGAGAGATGGGGAAGGAGAGAAAGAATGAAAGGATACTTACATCCTTCCACCCCACCACATTCTATTTATACTAACAAGTTTCAGAAATTACAACACAAGTCCCCAACATTATATAAGTAATAACAAATATGCCCCTGACACCTTACTTTGCACTAGATGTGTTTTTGACCCTTGTCAGCCTATATTTCTTCATCTCAATTCTGCTCTCATAAAGTATTTGTAATGAGTGGAGATCAGATTGTGAACGTAGGTTATGAATCAAGAGAACAGCGTTACAACTATCATACAGAATTCAAAAATGAAAAAAGGCCGTTATTGTTGATGATTGTGTTCAGCCAGTTTCTTGGTTTTAAATTTTTCTCTTGAAACTTGAAGCAAACAGATAGAAAAAGAAGCCTTCTTACAGCATTGAGAAAGATTAGGGTTATTCCAATCACCGTTGGAGCCTAGATTTCTAAAGTGAAATCTGGGAAAACCCTTAAGGGAATTTTGTGATATGAAAATAACTCAAAATGATATTGATTAAGTCTGGGTTACAGCAGATATAGAGGACTGTCCTTTTTATAATAAAATCATTAATGACACTTCGCTTTTCTAGACCAACTTTTAAGCTACTCACAAAGCATTAATAATAACGTTTAGGTTTCACATGACATCTTTAGATCTTCATTCCATAATTACTACGTAATAAACTGACTTTCCAAAACACCCTAAATTATTTGCATCAAACCCTCCTCGTTGAAGAAAACTCTCCCTCGAGTCTGAAACAATTTAACTCGATCCATTAAAGACCCAAACATGGCCCTCCATCCTTGGGTTTCTTCTTTTCCGTACTCGAACAAAACACACTAATTTGCTGTTAATGACAAAACCTGCTTCAACACAAATCAGGAGCCAAGACCTGAATTAATCTGAATTTTGCATTGGAACAACACATGATTATATGTTGCGCCAAGAATTCATCCCAAAACAGATCAAGATTATGGAATTCATGATTTCTCAGCTCCAAGAACAAAGAAGCTTCATTTCTATCTTAATTAATCAAGAAACTTAAATCTGCTGTAATGCTTATTGCACCATGTACAACTGGAAGTTCAGTGTTTTTATCTTCAGCTTGTCCACCTTGACAATAATTTGCTGAATCATATTTGTTATTTGTACTCACAAATCCATGAGTTGCAGGTTGAACAATGACAACTTCTTCAACTTTAGACAAGTTTCTGATTGTTTCTTTAGATTTTTCCTCAGTTCTCTTACCTGCTTCATTGTCCTCTTCAATCTCAGCTTTTGACGTGTTGATGGCTGCTTCTTCAAACTTCTCCTCTTCCGCCTTTTTTTTTTTTTTTTTCTTTCCTTCATATTCCTCTTTATTGTTATCAAATTCTGGAAGATGGGAGGTTGAATGTACCCCCAAGATCTCATATCTTCTTCATCTCTGACTGATTCATCAAAAGTTGAGTTGGGATCATCATAATTCGTAAGATCTTCCTCAAGACTTGTATTTCAACTCCTCATGTGCATCGTACCAAAATTCAGATTTCTGCCAATATGGAATCAAGAGCTGTCCAGGTGGTTTTTGACTGTTTAACTGAAGTGACAACACCCAATTTTGCACTTTTGAACTGCTTATGCTGCTAATTTCTTTCTCTAGTAGGCTGTTCAGTCCAATTTTGACTAATCCATTTAAAAAAAATACAAATATCTGAATTTTTTTGAAAAAAAAAGGTGAAAGAGAATGAAATTCTACAAAATTTTATGTGAATTATAACACAAAATAATTGAACCAGAATTCTATAAGATAGCTCAGGACTAGTTGTAGATCATGTTGTAGAACTATGGGTGGTTAATGAAAGATTTTCTAATGAATTTAGTGTTTGCTTCGATGAGGGTGCAAGCTTGTTATAACTCAGCGTTATTCCATGGGACCCTCATTACAAATCCAAGTATGATTTATTGAGATTTGACTAAAAAGGAGTGCTTATGTTTGTGTGAGCTTTGTCTTGGAACTAAAAGGTGATTAGATGATAGTGTTTTCCAATTGTTCTATTGACCTGCAGTTAATATTGATGAGCAAGGGTTTGAACTTTGAAGGTGAAAGCACTGCAGTCACAAGAGGAGGACAGAAAAAGGTGTGTTGGAATCTGAGAGACTCGCTGAGTAATTCTTGTGGTATATGGGGCCCTATACAAAGTAGAGTTGTGAGGATTTGTGCAGCCAATTTAGATTGTTCAGAAACTCTAGGCTAGGTTTAACAGAGAACTTGGACTTTGTATGAATAAACGCTTCAGTTCTCAAATGTACTGTGCTCATTTGAGTGCTACTCAAATAAATGTGCTTGGAGACCCTCCACAATTTTGTTATGGATTTTGAAATAAGGACCATCTCTAAAAGCTTTTTGGAGGAACAGATATGCCAAGTCCTGGAAAGAGCATGCCATTTCTTGTATTATATGGAGGATGGATTAACCTCAGAACAATTGGAGAGGGAAGAACCACCGAATAAAAAGTCAAAACATATTTATCTCGGGTGTCGACGTGATGATCTTTGATTTGGTTCCATATAGAGGACTGAATATAGTTTTTTTTTTTTTTTTTTTTAAATGAGCTTGTGCTACTGAGTTTAATGGTATTTGCAGTACTATTTGGCTGTCATTCGCAAGTTGTGTTTAAATAACAGACTCTTCTGTTATGAAATTTGCCGACAAGTTACCCCAAACTTGGTTAAGCCTTTTATGATCTTGAATCGTATTGGTTTCCAAATGAACTTTATCTACATTGCATTTTTGTCCAAAATTTGAAAATTTCTCCTTGCATGAGAAATCTGTTCTTGCCCTTTTTCTCAATGACATTCCAACAAAAGGTCCCTATTATTCTTCTTTGCAGTTACTCTTATCTTTATCCACACACACACACACACACACAGTTATTTATTTATTTTTCCTGAATCACGCAGTTATTTAGTGATGGTGGGTTTTCCTTGCAGGCGTAAATGGCAATTCATTATATTGGAAGTACCTCGAATAGCCACAGCAAGGGGTGGGTGATTATATAGATGTCATATAATGAGGTCATATGTTTTTGGCTTCTTAATTGTAGTATTTGTAATGATATATGTCCAACTGATAATATCCCAGAATTTGAAATTTTTGCATGTGGTAGATTAGAGAAGAATCTCTTCTTGTATGAAATGCTCCACAAGCTCCATTTTGCATTTTGTTAAGATGTCTTATGATTTCAAAATTACATGTTTAAGATGCACTTTCTTAAAGTCGTGTACAGGCAGAAACACCTTATTTAATGACATTGAGAATGAATATATGCATATGCTGACAACTCAGCAAGGATGTATCATCACACTTTTGGGTTGAACTCACAACCCTTTTTGGTAAGGCTTCAAAACGAGAAATAGTTTGTTCGAATGTAGAGATAAGGTTGCGTACATCTTAGCCTCTAGACTCCGCAATGGTGCTCCTATTCGAGCCTCTCTAGACTCTGCAATGGCCAGCCATTATCTTGGGGCCTGTGTTCTCTAAAAATGAGAAACTGCTTATGTGCCATTTTTATTTTATTTTGGAGCTAATATTGTGGTTGTCTTGACCATAATTTGGGCCACTCCTAGTCGACCAATGGTTATGCTCTTTTTAAATGAAGCATTATTTTAATTTTATTTTGGAGGGCTGTAAATTTGGGCAACTCCTAATCAACTAATGGGTTCCCATGTGAACGCCTTTATTATGATTCAGGCTGGCCAACCTACTCAGGTTGACGTGTCTTTGGATAATGGACTGGATTTAATATTAACTTTAAAATGCCTGGTGTTTCACGTTTTGATCCAGCCCAAAAATTTAAATTGTTTTATGAATCACCAATTACATGAGTCTAACCCAACAAATTACATTTAAGATAAATTACACTGAATTCGTTAATTTACGCTTGTTTCTCAATTAACATTAAGCTTTGGATAGATGGAGTCAACTGTTATATTAAAATTATTTTTCTGCCCTTATTATATAGATTCTGTATTTTATTACAAACTCAATGAAATTTGAAAAGACAAAAAGGCCAAAACCTATCCTTCAACCTACACAAACACAAGCCACTGCCTGTAACAAACGGCATCGTTTGCATCTTCTTCCCCGATAATGAAAACCCACAACCCTCTGGGCTAGATTCATCCGTCATTGAAGAACCCATTTGAGGCCTCTTGAGCCACTGAGCCGAACCCAGTTCTGAAAACGAAGGGTACTTCCATGCTAACCATGATTATGTACAAAAACCCTACACCGATCAAAATTTGAATCGATCTCTGCCGACTCAGTGACACGAACACGTCTAACTTGGTTCTCTTCGTCCCCAATTCTCCACAAAACCCTAAATTTTCAAAAACCGAACCTTAATTTGATTGCTCCGTGATCACAAACAAAACAGAACTTCGTAGAGAGAGAAGAAGAGAACAGTTTCAGCCACTGCCGTTACTGCCCTTTGCCGCCGCGGAGCAGAGCATCTCAGCCTTGCTCGCTGCTGCAGCTAATTCACCGCCGATCTGCTGCTTGTATTCTTCATCGACGACGTCTTCGATCCGCCGCCGATCAAAATCCTTCAGGCCTTGGGCAGTTGGGCTGTGGTGATTAAGACGGAGTCGCGAATCAATTGCGACTTGGCTTCGGTGGCGACGATGACGATGACCGTTTGCGGATAGTACGCGGCGACGTTCCGGCCGATCCAGGCTGCGACAGTGCGTTGGAGAACCCAATTGCGAGGAGCTGGTTGTTGGGCGCGCTGATGAAGACCCAGATCTTGGTTTTGGCCATAGCTTTGAGAAGGTATGCGTCGGCATCGTAAAGATGAATGATGATGGTTTGGGTTTGAAGTTCATAGACCCAAGCTCGGTGAAGTGTATAGAACCACCGCTGATCTTGCCGCCGCCGCCGCCTTCTCGCCGCTGTTCTGAAACTCCCGAATTAAAGTTGTCACACCGAGGAAAGAGCGTAGTGAGAGAAAATATTGGAGAGAGAATTTGAGGAGAGGGGAGAAATAATTATGAGAATATTTTAGATATTTTAATTAATTTAATTTAATTACATATCCTTCAGCGTAGAGTGAGAATTTGAAAATAAAAAATTGATGACATCATTTTTTATTAGTAATAGTAATTTCTGATAATAGAAGGGGTCTTTGTTACACTTATACAAATTTTGAAAGAAGTCGTCGTTATTTGATAAATAAGAAAGGAGGTCATCTTTACATTTATTATTCGGATATGATGTGACAAACCTCTAACATTAGCCTTGAAGTGTCCGAGAACCGATTGTCATCCACCTGAGAAAAAAATTATTTGTCACAAAGCGCATCGTATTAAATGCAATTCGAATCCATAACCCGGCATGATTTTGTGCAATTGATGGCGTACTCGTAGATACGCTGGCTTGACACTCTTTTTTGCCATTGGATCGCGTACTTGTTGATATGGAGAGGCTATTTAGAGGAGAGGAGCAGTAATATTCATGCTCTATGAACTCCCTCCTCCACTCCAACTTCTTATTTTACTCCTTATTTTAATAAACAAAATGATTAAACCAAAGAAGCTTTTCCTTTCTTCTCCTATGTTCCCTTCTCTCCTCCTTATGCCTCATCAATCACAATGTTCCATAAAATATCCTCACAGCCCATTAGTAATTAATAGAGATAGATCTCAGGTGTTGAAGAGAATTAATAGAGATAGACTTGGTTGTAGAAGAGAACTAAGGGTTAGGTGCAATAAAATCCTCTCTATTATCGATATAGTACCAAAAAAATCCTGTGTGGTATAAAACTCCTTTATACTATCAATTTGGTGCAATTACCCTGCTCGCATAAAAAGACATTAATATCCTTTGGTTAACAAAATGAAATAATATTTAAAAAATCCGGCAGTGTAAAATTATAATTTTAGACAATTCCCTCTGATTCATCATGTCCAGAGCAAAGCCTAAAGCCACAACCACAAAAAAGAAGAGGATGGCCGTTGTAGAGAGGATGGTCGTCGAAGAGAATGGCCGTCGCAGAGACCCTCATCATCGCCGATCCAAGGATGGCCTTCAGTACATTTGGAGCTCACTTGAATTGGGTCACCCAAGGCTTGCCAGAATTGTTCTTTGTACTCATCACCGAACTGATACAAGGGGAAGCTCGCCGGTTTGTACACTAAAATTCTTCACTTATTTTGGGTTTTCAATGGTGTTCATCGGAGATATAACTGAAACATCCGGGAAAAGAGTTGTTCACAATGATCGCCTGCACTGATTGCTGAGCCATGATGGCCGGAAAACCAAATATGTGACGGATATCCACAGATGCGGCGGAACCACTCCCGTCTGGAACCACCTCATGACGTTCTCCGTCGCCCAGGACCTCTTCATCCTCTTCAAACTCCGATTCGACCGCAGCGTCCTCGGCTATCGAAAAATTGGCTTCGTCTCTGTCCTCGTCAAAGAATTCCTCTTCGGCAACACCTCCGCTGAACGCAATTTGGAGTATCAGGTACGAAAGTGCTCCGATAAAATCAAAGGCAATATGAAATTCTCTTACAAGTTGGGTGAAAAATTTGCTACGCTGGCAATGAAGTATCCGATGGCGGTGACTTATCCGGTGGCATCTACTTATCCACCGGGGCCGCAGGCGGCGGCAACTTCCCGTGGATTTAAGCATAGCGGTAAGTGAAAGAACAAACATCGTTATGATGATGATAGTTGCTTACATTACATCGCACCGTCATCAGAAAGTAAGATCTGATAAGTGAAATGGGTTTGTGATGTGGCTTTGTTTAATGACACACTAAGTCAACTCAATAGATCGGCGCCGAACTTTGGCAATGGGGTTGAATTGAATGGCCAGAATAAACATAGTGGTGGTAGGGATGGTGGTTATGGCTGTGATGCACCACTAGTTGTGGTGAGGGGTAGGAGAGAAGCAGTCCCTTAGAAAAAGGAAGAATAGGAAGAGAAAATGGCAAATTAGGGTTTTTAAATTTATTTTATGTCAATTTTGACCAAAAAGTGATTAAAAGGGTTTATTTATAACTCTTTTTTGAATTTTATGAATTGAATGCATTTTTTTTTTTTAAAAAAAAAGAATTATTTGTGCACAAAACCTATATTATAGGGGTTTTTTCTAAAATATATCTGAGAAAGAAAATGCAAAAATTGAATCGATTGAAAGCTGTTTTAGCGGATAGCTATAATCATTCCTCTCCTTCTTCGATTGAGGTTTAGAGAGAGAAAAAGGGAGAAGAAATCGGAGGAATCGATCACATCGGCGAGTTGGGGATTACTTGGTGTATATGGATCTTCGTCTTCGCAGACTATTCGGACATTGAATGTTATTTCGATAGAAAAGAAGTGACTGGACTCGACCCAACTCGTCCCCCAACCTAATCAGCTCAGATCTCCCATCCCTCTCTTTTTATAGTACAACTGTATTTATCTATATCTTCTGTATCTATAGCTCGGGTTTTATTGTCATTTAAAGAGAGAAAAAAACGAGCGTTGTTGCCTTTAATTTTGTAGAGCGAGTATGTGTGTGTGGTGTTGAGGAAAAAATCGTCTCCAAGGCACCTCTCATTGGAGGATGTCCTTGGAGGGGTAATGTGATACCCCTCGATTCTAGAGCCACGGGTGATCAAATCCGAGCACAGATCCGAGGGATACCAGACAATCAATATGTGAACAAGTAGGAATAAAAAAAACTGAATTAAGAATAAATTAATAATATGCTAAACGAAATCTAAAATAAGAATCCTCAAACTTTAAATAATAAATTAATATTATTTAAATCCTTAAAATCCGTACAACTCGGGAATCCATCTAGTGGACCCCTAATAATTCCAACTGGTAAAACATTTACAGAATTAAAATCCAAAACCAAAATAAGAAAACAAATCCTATGTAGTTGGAAGAGTGAGAGTCTGTTTCTGCATCAATACGATCAAGCTCTAAGCCTGGTACTGACGAATACCTGAAAAATAAGAGTGGGTTAGGCCCACATGCAAGTTCCAACCTACTACAATCCGTATATAAACCCAATACGCAGATACATCCTAGATAGCTCGGCAATATCTATTAATAGTCCATATATATATACACACACTATAGGATACTCACTAACCTATAGTCATCACACTAGAGTAGAAGGTAACACGCAAAATGCCGTAGCGTCGTCATGTACACCTAGACCTAGCAGGGA